GCGGCGGTGTCCAGCTAGCGCGCTCCGCGCGTGTCCGGGTAGAGCACCGGCGCGCTCCGCGCGCATGAGAATCCAGTGCTTATGCTCATAAGCACTAAAAGCTCGTTTCTGCAGCTTGGTAAATGTTATGGGCTGCTATGAGAGAGCCGTAGATGATGGCCGAGTGGTAGTGTTGACCAGCGGCTCATACCCGTAGCACATTACCGAGGGACATACACACCGACGCCCGAAGTGCCAAGAAGGACGTCATCAGTACGAAACCTCAGAAGGCCATGGGCGCCGAGAGAACATTCCCCCGAGAGGACAAAAAAGAAATCAGTAACCAGCCTCCGGCGGGTCTCAATCATAGATAGAGGCTCAAGTGTGACATAAGTGTCGCTGTCCACATAGACATACACACATACACAAAGCAGCTCTCACGACACACGGGCACCGGGTGGAGCGGCGGCGGCGGCGGCAGCAGCACGCGCGGGCGGACGGATTCGGACGGGGCGGAGCAGCGACTGCCTGGGCGGCCGCTGCTCTGTCTGCCAGAGCGCGCCGTCTGCGCAGCTCGAGCGCGGTCAGGTGCATGGAAGCGTGGCGGCGCGGGGACGCGCGGCGGCGGTGGCGAGCAGGCGAGCGGCCCGCGCGCGGCGAGGCGGACAGGTGATCGGCAGGTGGGTGATGGGCCGGAGAGTGACCGCGCCCAGCGATCGGAGGCGAGCCGGTCGTCGCTCGGCCGCAGCTGACCTCGAAGGCGTGCGGAGCGCGACTGTCGGTGTCGGGGGGCGGCCGTCATGTGGCGAGGAGGGAGGGCGACAAGTGCGCGTCGTACGGGTCGCTCTTCATCGGCCAGTCGAGCGGACGGGCGTCGGTCAAAGCAAAGAGGGCCGGTGGGGGCCGGTGAGGCCGGCGAGATCCGTTGCGAGATACGGTTCGCGCCCAAACAAGTTTGGACGCTCTGGGACGCGCCGCAAAATCAGGCAATTGGAAAGGGGGCTACTGGGGCGGCCAATTCACACCTCGCGGGACTACTTATGTTTTCGTAAACGTAGTCGTGGCCCCCCGCTACGTCGCACGAGTGCAACCGGGTAGCGGGGGGCTAAAAGGCTTCAAGTGCTCCAAGTGCTTCGCAGCCCCTCCTTGCGCAGTGACCCTCGCTAAGTGTCGCCGTTATCGGGGCACGCTATCCTGCACAGTCAGGGCAAGTGGGGGCGAGGCGCAGTCCCGCTGGTCAGATACTGGTGTGGTTCTGTCCCTAGTCTCGGAGGGGGGCAAAAAGATAAGAATATCATTTTTTTGCTATGAGAGAGCCGTCCCGGGTCCACGGTGTTATGGCCCGAGAGGCCACGCCGAACTGCTCACCGCTGGAATTTTCGCTTCGCGCGCGCGAGGTTCGGTATCGATCGCCAAATATTTTCTATTTTGCCCTCAAGTTAAATTGAATAACATCAACCTGCCTCCTGCGCTGAGCGATGGCTTCAGATTGCTCAATCGCAAGAGAACCCCCCTCTCCCGTCACTCCCCGACCCTCCCAGATTCACGCAATTTCCTTCCCGTTTTTAACTTCTGATCTCAGAGCTCAGTGGAGTCGTACGTGTGCTCGTCCTCCGTCGACAGCACATAGTTGATAAGTTGAAGCCGGAATCTTCTTGAAGTCGGAGACTCGCAGGTCAAGTGACAACAAGGCCTCTGGCTCTACTGGAACATGCACAACATGCACATGTCATGGACATGTTCATGTTCATGTTGTGCATGTCCATGTCCATGTGACATGTGCATGCGATGGAGGTGTTATGAGGTGTTATGAGGTGTTATGAGCAGCCAGTCATACAGCCAATAACACCTGTTATGGCCGCTCCCAACGTTGTCTGGGGTCAGCTTTGTCTAGTGCGTTCATCTACTCACAAAATCCCGTCACAATATTCTATACGATATCGTGGTTCTGGCTCTGTTCTCTGCGCGGGAGGGGGGATTCTACCCCAAGAGGGAAGGGAAGGTAAGCCGCAAAAACTTCTCCACACTCAACACACATCATTAAAGTACAAGTGGAGAAAAGGGGGGCGACCCTGCGTCTCTTTCTCTATTAGTCTGTATCTCTCTCTCGAGGTTCTCGAGGTGGATATCATTTGGCCGCGTTGGGTAGCGAGGATTGGCGTCGGTGACGTGATCCACGCAGGCGTGTTTTCTGACGGCCGACCGTCAGTGCACGGCCCCTTCTCCGACGGCCCCGGCTACTCGCGTAGTTCCCGGACAGGGTTCCCGGGTTCGTCGGGAGTGACGCCTTCGCCGCCCGAGACCTAGCGCGGGGGTGGGTTGGAGGGGGCTCGCTGCGAGCAAGGGCTGCGTAAGAAGCCGATCCCGTAGTCCGCCCCACTCCTCCCCATCGGGCCGCACCTGCGGCCGCGCCTCGCGTCTATCTAAACGACACAGGATGTGGCTCATGTGGTGGGTGTTCTGTTATTTCATACAGTAACGCTACTTACTTGTATAACCAACCAGATCGATGCGAGGACGCAAGTCCACACCAAACTCGGCCATTCCAACGGCCAGCCATGGACGGCCAGACCGCTCGCTTAAGGCTGATTGGCTAGGAGACGAACGGTCTACCTCCGACGGGGCGGTCTGGATCACGGGGGATGACATCCTGCCTCCCGGCACGCCGGGAGGAGGTGGTTGCTCCGCCGCCAGACCCCCCCCCCCCCCCACCACCACCCTCGCCCAAGCGCCAAGCCCAAGGGATCTACAATGGCTGTCTTAAGGTCCGACAGCGTTCGGCACCGGGGCACCGCCTCGGTATACAAAATGCGCCTGCGGGCGGACCCTTACAGATCACAAGATCACACAGGACGTTGGGCTGTAAAAAATATTCAGCAAGGTACCTTATTCTTTTAAGGATCAAGCTGGACCATCATCCATCTACAACTAACTACTCGAGTACATTCCAGAGCATATTCTAGCATATCTTGGAATATATGACACCGAAAGCCTCTTGGAGGGCCTACGTAGGGAGCTCCCAAATAAATTGCGCAAAATCGCGCAAAACGCGCAAAATCGCTCGCTCGCAGCGGATTTGTCGCAGCGGTCGGTGCACGGTGGAGAGAGAGGGAGGGATGCCAGAAAACACGTACACGATCATCGCGTCGCGAGAAACGAATCTGCGAGACGTGAACATGGATCGCGTCACACTAATCCTCGAAAAAAGGATTTCCCCTTGAGAACCTCTAGGACACCAATCCTGGGCAGCTCCGGCGAGACGTACCGCTCTGTCCCCATCGGTGCCATCCGAGCCAAGATCTGCGACCTCGGCGTCTCGCGGGCCAGATCGAACGACACCGTCTACTTGCAAACCTTTTGTGGCACGCCTGCCTACCTAGCTCCCGAGATTGTGGGCTCACGGCCGTACACAGAGGGTGCGGACGTGTGGTCGCTCGGCGTGCTCCTCTACGAACTCGCCGCGTTGTCGCTGCCCTTCTTCGGGCGCAGCGTGCGCGAGGTGTCGGACCTGATTGCACGTGGGAAGTTCGCACCGCTACCCCCAACCTACTCGGCGGGGCTGGTTGGGCTGGTCAGTGCGATGCTTCAGCTCGATTTGGATCGGCGGCCCGATGCGCAGCGGGTCCTGGAGTGGGCGAAAGGGCTGGAGCTGGACCGCGCTGCTCAAGCTGCGCCGAGCGAGGCCGCACCCGCACCAGGCGACCATTCGCTCGGTGGGGAGCCGACGGCGCAGACGGCGAGAGAAGCTGTATCCTCCACAGATAGCCCCTCAACCGATGTGAACCGCCGGGACCGACACGATGGCCGCGCGCTGAGGGGCAAAGGGCGGTGTGATATGGCCGCGCAAGGCCACGGGGCGCCCCGGGAGGACGCTAAGCATAGGGAGACGGCGCCTCCTCGCGAAGGGAAGTTTGAGCGGTACCGGCGCGAGTTCGAGGAGCGGCAGCGCTGTGCGGCCGTGGAACGGAATGCCACTGAGGGCGTCACGGGTGGGACGGCGGACATTCTGGTCATGGAGGAGGCGCCTCGCGCAGAGGAGGCAGCTCGGGCTCCCCCTCCGCGTGTCGACCGCCAGAGCGAGGCTGAGCCGCCCGCAGATGCCAGTCCGGGCACGGGACAGGCGCTGGACTCCGCACGCGAGCCATCTGTTTCCGCGGTCTCCGCGAGGAGCGAGAGGCTTGTGCAGAGGCGCCGCGAGCGGGACGCATCGCTCTCGTCATGCGGCAGCTGCCAGACGCCCACTTGCGAGTCTTCGCGCCCGCCGTCGACCCCCGGGATAATGATCACCGAGAGCGCGGATAGGTGGCCAGAGCAGCAGGTCCAGGCGTACGTGCTCGCGCAACAAATGCTGGCGCTCCACGCCAACAGCCGCTGCCAGCAGAGACCCATTCGGGCCGCACCGTCCCCTCAGCAGTACTCGCATCCAGACCCCGTCTTCTCGCGACCCGGCTCCGCTCGGCCTTCTCGGCCAGGGTCCGCGCGGCCGGGGTCGGCACGAGGGCGGCTTGGGGTGGCCGGGGACGGATTCGATCTGATTAGCGGGGCGCCGCTGCGCAGGGGCAGGCGTGGAGGCAAAGAGCAGTAGAGTCAACTCCTCAACTGAGCTCTGCCTGTGGTGAACCGCACAGTGGTAGCAATGCATGTGCATGTGCATGTGCACACTTGCGCTCAAAAAGCTCAAAAGATGTGTTAAAAACTCATCGCCGCCTCCAGTCTCGCGTCCTCAAAAATAAATAAACACGTGGCACCTCCAAGGCTCCAAGTGCACCTCTTCAGGGAGATCAGAGATGGGCGTAAAAAAAAGAACAGTCACCGAGAACAGGTGGAGGTGCCTCCCCCGGCCCGCGTGCCGCGTGCCGCGCGTCTTTTTTTTTGTGTGTATGGCTATGGGTTCTTTGTACACAGACGGTGCTGGAGTCTTTGTACATGCGATGGACACCGTTAGTGGGGACGCAGGACGGAACCAGACTCCACGTGCACCTAACCAAAACCTCTCCCGGCTATCTTATCTGAGAGTGGCGTCAGAGGGCGAGGCCGGGCGGCAACACGAGCCCCGCCTTCTTCGCCTCGGGCTCGACCTTGACGCCGCACACCGAGGCGAGCCGCAGCGCCGCTGCCGGGTCGGAGCAGGCGAGGCACTTGCGCAGCAGCTTGGACTTCTCCGTCTGCACCTCCTGCCCCAGACCCACGAGGACGAGGTTCACCTCCGCCCAGATGTCGGCGGGCATCCACGCCTCGATGGCGCGCCGCGTCTGCTCGGGCGTCTTCGTGCCGCCCGGCCCCGCCCACCCCAGCTGATTGCAGATGCGGTGGACGTGCGTGTCGACAGAGATGCCCTCGACCTTGCCAAATGCGACCCGCAGCAGGATGAGCGCCATCTTCGGCCCCACGCCTGGCAGTGCGAGCAGCCCATCCATCGTGTCGGGCACGCGGCCGCCGTGCTGCTCCAGCAGGATGCGCGAGGTCGCCTTGAGATACTTGACCTGCTCACACCCCCACGCCGTGAAGAGGGGCCGCTCACCGGTCGCGTGCTCGCCTCGAGGGCCGGAGTAGTCGCCTTGTTGTTGTGGAAGCCGCACGCGTAGATTAGCTCGTCCAGCCTCTCGTCGGGCGTGTCCTACAGGGCGTGGCGCGGGCATGTCGCGCACAGGCCGTGGAAGTGTCGTCCAGCCCCTCGCCGGGCGTGTCTCCAGCAGCCGGCGCGGCGAGAGGCCGTGAGCGCGCAGCTTCTTCATCGTCGCCGCGTTGACCGTGTCTTTGGTCTGCGACGAGAGCATCAGTGAGACGAGGGCGTCGAAGTCGCGCTCCTCCTTTGTGCTCTCGCCCGCGATGGCCTCCGTGCCCATGCTGTCCACCACCGCGGTGCGGTCGGCGCGGAGCTCAACGATGAGCTCCCACGTCGCCCGCCAGTTCGCGGGCGGCTCAAGCCGCACGTCGGTCGCCTTGCTGCGCTTGGGCGAGGCGGCCGCAGCTGTCGAGGCTGAGGCGCGCCGGCCTCGCTTCTTCTGCTCGGTCGTGGATGATGGCGCGCCGGGCTGTTTGGCGGGCTCTTCGGCCGTGAGCGGCGCCGCTGCTCGCGATTTGGACGATCTCTTCTTCTTATGCGCGTCCGTCTGCACCGCCGCAGTCGCCATGGCGCGGGCGGCTGGCGCAGCAGGCGCGAGCGGCGAGAGGGCCAGTGGCTGGACGGAGGCCGCTGCCGTGGAGAGCACGGCGCAAGCTGGGGTGATGCTGCGGCTGGCGCGCATCCTGTGGCTCTGGGCAACGGGAGGAGGCGGAGGAGGCGCCAACCAGGTTTGTTGTGAAGAGCTGGGTCGCGCCACCCAAGAGCCTAGGTAGGTGCGGATCGGCAAGAGCGCAATCCATCTTTTTGCCCTCTATCACCTTGGGTTGTAAGAACTTGAAACACACCACGCAGGGGCACAGCAAGCACGGATAGCCGTTGAGGAGAAAGGGCGTAAGGTGTATGCGCAGCCACGGCCGTGCCGCGGTGGGCGCGCCACCTCCCGCGAGCGCGGCGGGATCGGAATTGCGGCCGGAGGGAAGGGCGAGCCGCCGCCGCCGCCGCCATATACCATCAGCGACGACGACCGCGGCTCGCCCCAAACGCCAGGCGCTGGATCGGCAGTAGGGCTTGGGCGGCGCAGCGTAGGCCTCGAGCCACACGAGTCGCCGACACCCCCCCCTCATCGACGTGATGGCCGCACCCGCTGCCGGCCGATGCAAGCTGCCGCCTCCACCGCACCAGCGATACTGGCCGCGGCTCGCCGCCACGCGCCGGCTCGGAAGAGGGGCTATCGGCGGCGCAGCAGAGCAGGAGAGCGGCATGCGTCGTCATTCGAGCAGCACCAGGTCCCCTCTTCGACGTGACGGCCGCTCCCGGAGCCGGCCGGTGCGCGCCCGACCCACGCCCCCTCTCGCACCCCCCCCCGATCCCCCTGCGCGGCGCCCCCTCCACTGCGCGCCGGCTCGAGCGCCTATTGCCAAATCGCAACTTTCGAGCGCAGTGCGTGCGCCCCACACGTCACGCGAGCGCAGGAGAGTTTGCGGCAGAGCAGTACCGTGTACTAGCCGGAGGCATCGCGCCGAAAACCCCGCGCATTCCGCCCCAACAGAGGCTGCAGGAGGCAGATGGCCAATAGCGACGATCGTTACGAAATGTTGCGTCACCGGGAGCTCTCCAAGCTGTCTTGGGTGGTAAAAAGCCCCAAATCGGGGTTCCGGCTCTCTACAGTACAGCTACGAGTACGGGGCCATATCACGCCCCCTAGCTCGCCGGTAAATGCCTTCTGCTCCGGCTCCCTCCAGTCTCCGGGTCTGCCTTGCCCTTGTCTTCTGCCGTAATGCTTAAAATGTTACAACACAAGGCTCAAGGGCTTGCCTCGCAGCACACAAAAAGAATTCAAAGGCGCGCGCTGGCGTCGCTGCGGAGAGTGGGTCGCGAGAATCCATACAACGACGTATCTCATGAGTTCAGCCTCCGGCGCCGGCGGCGACGACCAGCGCGGCGCAGGCAGCGAGGAACGCGCCCGCGACCGGCAGGAGAGGCGGGCCCTTGTATTCGGGCGTAAGCAGGACGAGCTCGTCCACGCCTAGAGGAAGGTTGAAGGTTCATTGAGGCGTCCGTGGAAGACTTGCGAGAGTGGCGACGAAGCGTCCACCTTCGTCGAGCTGCCAGCGCAGGGCGCCACCCTCGCCCACCACCCGGACGAGCGTGTTTGGCGACACGGCGAGCGGCTCGCCGGTGGTGTCGCGCTGCACCGTGCCCGAGCCTTCCAGGACGTAGCGAAGCGAGCCGTCCTCGACGTCGGCGTCGAAGGCGCCACGCCCGCCCTGCGTGATGATGGTCGGTGGCCAGTCGCGCACCCCCATCGCCTCGGCCTCAGCCTGTGTGGGCTGCGTGAGTGCGAGTCCTGCCTCCAGAGGAGTCCTGACCGTCAGCATCCGCGGCGGCGCGGCCCTCCTCAGCGCCGTCCGCCGCTCCTCTCGCGCCCGCACCGCGGTTCGCCCGTCCTCCCGGAGCCTTGCCAGCCGTGCCTGCTCCTCTTCAGTCGGCGGCGCCGTCTCAGCAGCCGACGGCGGAGAGCCGTCGCCGCCAAACATCCAGCGCTCCAGCTCGCACTCGTCGTCCTTGAAGCACTCACGCTCGCCCATCATGTCGTCAATTTCGACGGCAACAGGCGTCGCGATCCACCGCTTGTGGAGTGCCGGCCTCGCGGTGTTGGGAACCCACGTGAGAGCGGACGCGAGAGCAGCCCACGCGAGAGTGGCGAAGGCACGCATGAGAGATTGTCGGAGAGAGAGTCGGTGAACTTCTTCCAGTCAAGAAGAGCAAAAGAATTCTTCCAGGGGGCGACGGCTAGCACCACACTCCTCTTAAAATCCCTGTGGTGTGGCGGCGTGCCGTCCTCCCATCTTCCTTCCCTTGTGCTATGTTTTTTCTTTCTTTCTCGTTTCTGCGGTCAAAAACAATTTGAGAAACAAAGACTAGTGACACAATACTCACACCCCACTAGCACTGCTCACACTGCACAACATACCTACAACACTCAAGGAACGGCACAGAGCCGTAAGAACTTCACGGCACCACTCGCCTAGTTCCTCGCTGACACGGCTCTCTGTCTGTCTCTCGGCTGCCTCGAAGCGCTGCGCAACGTCCGACCTCGCGCCCCTTGCCCGGCCGCGAGCAGTGCCGCATGCCGACAGGGATCACTCGGCACGGCGACAGCGCGGCCTACGAGGAGAGACGCGACAACAGCAGCTCCCGACTAGTTGCACACTGCTGGGAGACGGCTGTTGGGGGGCGGGGGGGGGGAGGTGCCTCCCCTCCAGGCATCTCGCCGGCCGCGCCGCAGAGCAGCACGAGGGGCATGAGAAACGGCTCCACCGTCCCGTCGGGCGACAGCGCCGCGGCGCCACCCGCGAGGATGCCGACACCAACAGCTTGGCCGAAATCGCCGCTGCCTCCGCCTCCGCCTCTGCCTCCGCTGCCACCGCAACCTCTGCCTCTGCCTCCGCTGCCTCCGCCGCCGCCGCTGCCTCGGCTGCCCTGTGCGCTCGCCAGCGCGCGGCGTGCCATGCGCCAATCTTCGTCGCCGGCGTGGGCGCCGAGCAGGAAGGGCGCCACGCCGAGCGCCTGAAAGTACAGCTAGCAGTAATACACTGCGACCTTCGTACACAGTCCTCCTCAGAATCTGTCCAGCATCTAGCGCCCAAGCGCCGCAAATGGCTCGCCGCCCTCGTGCCCTACCGACCCCATCAGGACCGCGCCCGCCGACACGCCCAGCAGCACCGCACCCCTCGCCACGGCTCGACGCACTGCGCTGTCCAATCCGCAGGAGCACATCGCCTGCCAACCGCGCCGCACGTCGCTCCCTGCGAGGACGATCAGCGCAGCCTCGTCCTCGAGCCGCGCCATGTCGTCCGCCACTGCCGGTGCACTCACACGCAAGTGCCGGACCTCGAGCGGCGGCAGCTTCCTGCATGCGGCCTCAAATATCTGAAAAGAGGAGAGGTCGTCGCCGTTGCAGGCGCCGAGGTAAAACACGAGGTTTCCGCGTCTGAACCGGTGGACGGATGCGGCGACGGCGGCGCCCACGGTGGATGCGAACCAGCCGCCGAAGAGTGGTCGCGAGTCGGCGGTGATGAAGAGCGAAGAAGCGTCCATGTGAGAAGCGTCCATGTGAAACCGCGTGTGCGGGGTGGTGCCGAAAAGAAGAAGAAAGTCGCGGTTGCTTCAGATCGCTTCTCCTCGCCAACCTAAGGGTGGGCGACGCCTAGCGCACCACACCCCTCTCCTTAAAATCCCTGTGTGGTGGCGGCGTGCCGTCCTCCCATCCCTCCCTGGGGTCCGTCTTCTTTCTTTTCCTCGCCAACCTCGCAGCAGTCCTCCGGGGCGGCACAATACTGCCATACCTCCCACATACAAGTGTCGAAGTTATAAAATGAACTCGGGGGCACGGGACGCGGCACAAACGGGGCACAAGTGTCGAAGTATGGCGAAGCATGCATACTTCAATACCACAGACTTCGCCGCTTGTACGCGGATACTGCAGATACTGCAGATACTGCAGACACTGCAGATACGGGTGGGTGCCGATTGCGCTATACAACAGCGGGTGCGGCACCCCACAGCCTCGGTGGAACAGCTGCCAAAAGCAGAATGTGCACTGCCAGAGGCATTGGCCAGCGACGCAAAACTTGGCGAGGGGAGCGGGTAGATAGATGCGTTGCGGGCTCTCCTGCCTTCATGTGCGATCCAAACCAACAACTATCAAACAGGCTGGGTGCTCCTCACTTGACTCTTACTGGAGTGCAGCATATGCCCTGGTAGGGGCAAAGAGCCAAGCGATTGTCCGTGCAAAACCAGCAGGAGGGTCCCCCTCTCGCCGACCCTCTCGCCGCGGCACACTGCCGAGGGTGAGGCAAGTGGACGCGAGTGCCATGCTGTTGCTGAGCCTCGCTGCGAGGGTGGTGCCGCCACACCCCACCCACCTGTTGCCACAGACAACCCGGATACCGCGGATACTGCAGATACTGCAGATACTGCAGATACTGCAGATACTGCAGATACTGCAGATACTGCAGATACTGCAGATACTGCAGATACTGCAGATACTGCAGATACTGCAGATACTGCAGATACTGCAGATACTTACTGGAGCGCCCCCCCGAGATACCTGGGTACTTGGGCGGGTTGCGGGACCACGTAAGGAGTGGTATCCCCGTACCCATACTTGCAGGTGCGACCGCCGCTACCTGTGTACTTGAGACGAGCTGCAACATACTGCCATATGTGCGTCTCAACTCCCCATACCAGCATACGTCTAGCTATGCGTCTACAGGTATCTTTTAGTACCAGGGTACGCCTACCTGGCGCAACAGCAGGATTTACTTGCCTACCCCGAAGATGGAAATAGATACCCCGATACGTTCATACCTGGCACATACCTTACTTGCCCCTGTCCCCTGAGCAAAAAACGGGAAATTTTCGGTGCTCCCCGCACCCCTAACGCGCGCGCGCAGCGCGCGCTAGGGGTGCCGCAGGCACCCCTAAGCGGCGCGCAGCGCCGCCGCACCCCTAAAACGCGCGCGCAGCGCGCCAGGCGCCGCAGGCGCCCCTACGGCGGCGCGCAGCGCCGCTGCACCCCTAAAAACGCGCGCGCAGCGCGCGCGCTGGCGGCGCGCAGCGCCGCCGCAGGCGGCGGACAGCAGGGGCTCCAAACCGTTCCCTTGCTCAAAAAACGCTACATGCTTTGGTGTTGCGTCTATCCGCGAAGCGATCCTCGCCCGACTGGGTTCCGGCTCCTACCCGGATAGGGGGTCTGTTCACACTGACTCGCGCCAAAACGCCCTACCTACCTACCTATCCCCAGGCCGCGCAGCGAAGCGAAAAAAGATGAAAGAAGCTGGTACCTACCTATTGCAGGGCCCTTTTGGGCCAAACAAGACCTACCTACCTACCTATCTGGGAGGGGCCAGCCAGCGTCAGACCCCCTATCCGGGTAGGAGCCGGAACCCTGGATTCGGTACTTCAGCTTGGTATAGTATCATTATATTGCAGATCATACCCCAGGGCTATACCCTGATACCCTCTTGAGAGGACCCGCATTGGGCCCCTAGAGGATAGGCTGATACCCTGGTGGGTTACCCTTCACACCGGACACGACCCCCCTCTTCACACCTCTTCGCGCGCTGCGCGCGCGCCAAGACAGACAAACGCGCTCGAATGAGCGTCGCGCAGGAGGGAGGCGAGCGCACCACTAAGCAATGCGCTGGGAGGAGGGCGCTAATGGCGGCCGTCGTCGCGTTTGACGGGCCCGCGGCCGCAGCCGGTGCGGCTGCAGCCGCGCGAGGTGTGAATTGTCGCTTCGCTGCGCGGCCGCCGATGATACCTTGATACCCAGCCGAGATAAGTCCCCACAGAGGCCTAGAGCATACCTTGATACCCCCTCGAGAACAATACGATGATACTATACCAAGCTGAAGTACCGAATCCTGCAGCATTGCAGCTCTCGCTCGATCGAGCCCCCAATGGGCGCGACACGCCTCGACGTCGACGAATCTCAACCTCTCATCGGGCATGGCTCACCTGGCGAGCGACGGCGCTGGCTTCGCGCAGCATTCGGTATCGACCCACGCTCGCTTGCCCTCTTCCGCAGCGCCGTGGGCTTGCTCGTGGGCCTCGACGTGCTGCTGCGCGTGACCGTCGAAGACATCCGCTTGCTTACGGACGAGATGGCGCCGCGTTCTGAGGCCCGTAGCATGCTGCAAACCCCATCGCTTTCGGTCTACATGCTGAACGGCAGCCGCGCTTTTGTGCTTACAGTCGCGGCCGTGCACGTGCTCGCTGCGTGCTGCCTGGCGGCGGGCTGGCATGCTCGAGCCAGCGCGGTGGTGGTTTGGGGGCTGCAGGTGAGCGTCGTCGATCGCCTGCCGGTCGCCAACAACGGCGGCGACCTGGTTTTGCTCGCGCTGCTGCTGTGGGCATGCCTCCTCCCCTGCGGCGAGCTCTACACGCTGCAGCATCGCGACGCAGGGCCGTCCACGCTTGGGCCGGCGAGGACCAGCTCGAGAAGGGCCTCTTCCGCGCCTCGGCCATCCCCGACCCAGGGTGCGGCAGACGCAGTGGTGCTCTCCTGGGCGTCGGCCGGCCTGGCTACCTTTGTCCCAGCGGTTTACTTTGACGCCGGGTGGAACAAGGTGCGCGGGGGCGAGTGGGCGCTGATGGGTTGGCGCCCGGACTGGTGGCCAGGAGGCGGCGGGGAGGGCGACGGCGGGCTGGGAGTCGACGCAGTTGCGCTCACGCTCTGCGATGAGCCAAATCTCGCCCTGCTCGGCCGGCTGGCGCGGGGGCCGCTGTTGCAGCGGCCCCTCGCCACGGCCCTGATGACGACGTTCGCCTTGGCACTGGAGCTGCTCGGGCCGCTGTGCCTCTTTGCCGTGCCATGCGCCACGTGGCTGGCACGAGCCCGCTTGCTGCTCGTCCCTCTCTTCCTGCTGTTCAACCTCGGCCTCGCCGCGCTGTACGACCTCCTCCTCTTCCCTGCGGTCATGGCAGTCGGTTGCCTGCCCCTCATACCCGCCGAGTTCTGGCAGCCCTGGCCACGGCTGCGTGCGGCCTGCCTGGATCGTCTCGGTGCGAGGCCGCTTCAAGTGGACTCTCGTCGTGGGCAGTGCTGCGCACTTGTCCGCGGCCGCCTTGCTCCTCCCCAGCCACCCGGCGCGTGCGGCCGACTTGTCGACAAGCTCGCTTCCGCCTTCGCGTTTGTCCTCTTTTGGAGCTGCCTGTGCGGCTTTGCGATGGACGTGATGCGGGTCGACCTTCCTGGCGGCGGTAGGATTCAGCATCTGCTGCAGCTTTTGCACGTGCGCACCGAGTGGCATATGTACGACACACAGAATGGCGACACGAATGGCTGGGAAGAGATCGAGGGCACCCTGCGCGACGGAAGCAGTGTCGACGTGCTTCGCTCGTTGAAGGCTGGCACGCCGCTCCCGAGGGCTCTCCAGCCGACGGCCCTGAGCTCTGACCCCTGGCAGCACCACACGCTCGCCGACATGTTGTTGCATCACACGAACCGGTGGCGGGAGCGCTGGTTTTACCAGCAGCACGAGGCGAGACAGCTATCGCCGGCCGTGGGTCGCCATCTGTGCGAGCGGTGGGCGCGTGCTGTGCGTCGCGAGCGCTGGACATCCGGTCAGCAGCTCGAGCGGTTCGTGTTCAATGTCACGATACTCCGAGTTGCCGGGATCAACGCCGCCGCCGGGGAGTGCCTCTTCAGCCGGGTGTCGACCGTTATTGACGCTGGCGATGAGAGGGGCGCCGGCTTTCGGTGCTCCACCGGACGAACTCGAGGTGACTCTATCAGATAGTGAGAGTGACACACACACACACACTCACTCACTCACTAAGTCCCTTGGAGCACTGAGCAGGTAGGTAGGTAGGTAGGTGAAGAACAGCCAGGCTCGGACTGGACACCAACGCGGTATGGGTGGACGCGGGACAGATGACGACGACACGCACGAGCGACACACAGACACAAACAAGCTCACAAGACACACAGCCAGAAAGAAAGAAAGAAAGAAAACGGACAACCCAAGGGAGGGATGGGAGCCAGAAAGAAAGAAAGAAACCAATGCTCTTTCTCTTTTTGGCCGCTGCTTGTCGGGGGCGCCCTTCCGCTGAAAACGGCCGGGCCCGGCCTTTGCTACTCCCCTAACACTGCGTCAGCGTGTAGCCTGTGCTATCATCGCCGATGTTTGGCCTCGAGCGTGTCGTGCGGTGGCTGCTCAAGGGCTGGTTCCGCCTCGAGCGGAAGGACGTGCGCCGCTAGAGACATCGGCTGTGTTCCCCCTGCCGCCTCCTGCCGTGCTGAGGCGCCCGCTCGCCCACAGGTTGTGGTTTCGGCCACTCGTCTCGAGCTGGCCCGGCTCGAGCTGGTGGTCGACGCGTGGAACCAGGTGCTCGGCTGGGCAGGCCTCTGCCTTGCGAGTGGCTCTGCCCGCCGGATCGCGGTGGCCATGCCGTGGGCGGCGCCCCTGCCGAG